GTCCTTACCACACACCACACACAAAAATTAACTCCAGCAGAACTAATATCAATGTCAAAAGCAAAACTTTTGAGTTTTCAGTGAAAGTACACGAGGACTTTCTAATTTGGGGGAAAGATTTATTTTAAAAACCACATTACTAGCTGTAAAAGGAAAGATGATTTTTGTCATCAAAAGATACCTTTAAAAAAGTAAATGTACAAAATAAAAGTTGGGAGATTTAGCAACACATATCGGACATAAAAATATATGTCCAATAAATATAAAAACACTTAACTCATACAAACCAATAAGAACATGACAATAGGGATAAAGCACAAACAGGCATTTTACAAAGGAGGAAGCATATACATGAAAAGCTATTGAATCTGTTTAAAGTCTGGGGAAGGCAAACCAAGACCACAGACTATTTTATTTTACATCATTCACATAGCAAAATCTCCAAGCATGAAAACAGCCAAGGGAGAATATATGAGTCAAGATCTCTCATACACTGCTAATGGGAATACTGACTGATACAAACACTTTGGAAAACAATTCACCATTATACTGTAAACTGAACTCAGAGCCTATGATCTGGCAATTTCATTCCTATGGTATATCCAAGGGCAATGCTCCCTGTATACCAGGAGACTTGCCTGAGAAGTCACAGCAGGAGTATGTTTTTATTTTTTTTAATCTTCACCCAAGGACATGTTTATTGATTTTTTAGAGGGGGGGGGGAGAGAGAAACATCAATTGGTTGCTTCTTACACGTGCCCCAACTGGGGATGGAACCTGCAACCTAGACATGTGCGCTGACCGGGAATTGAACGAGCGACCTTTCATTGCATGGGATGAGCAGCAGTATTTATAATGGCAAAAAAAACCCCACTGACAGATGAATAAATATGTCGATATATTTACAATATGGAAATGTTCTATAGCAATGAAAATCAATAAATCACAAATACAAGCAGCTTTATAGATAAATCTTTATGAAAAATGGTCCCAGAAGACATACTGTATATCCTTTGTATAAAGTTGAAAACAAAATAGATAATATATTATTTAGTACATACATTTGTAGCAAAAACTATTAAGAAGGAATAAAACATTCCAGGATGATGATTACCTACGGGGGGGTGGGGTAGAGGGTGAGATGGGGAGGAACACATAGGTAGATGTTAAGTTACTGGGAATATTTTAAGTTTTCTTGGGTTGGGAGGTGGTTTCATGGGTATCCTATTTTATAGAAACTAAAAAAAATATATCCCTCACTATGAAGAGAGATTTGGGGGGAACTGATAAACTGTGCGTGATTTGTATTTACTTTTTTATTCTGCTTTATGGAAATTTAAAAACTTCAAATTTTACATTGATGGGCTCTATGATGATCACCATTACCCTGACAGCAAAGATACACTATACCCTCTTTTATCTTCACTCAGTTTTTTAAAAAGACGTCTTTTTCACCAGTCAGGATAATGCAACTGGTGTTATCTCAAGCTTCATGACACTCCCAGGGCTCCTTGCTCCCAGGCCTCCATGTAAAACAGAGGCTAATGATGGCATCTTTTCCACATCTGTGAGACAAAACTCAACTTTTATCTCTTTACAAATTAAAGGGAAATATTATTACCAACCTTTAACTGCATCCAAGTGGCTGGTGTGCAGCAGCTCACTGGCTTGATTATACTTTGTCAACAACTGCCAGAACACAGATTCCTCTTTAGGGCACAGGTCAGTCATCACCGCATTTTTTACCACTTCCAAATGCACCAATACTGACAGGATACAGTCTAACCAACAGAGGGCATGAGAATTTTTCCACTGAACACATGAAGTCTGGCAAAACTGTATATATCTGCTCTCCAGTGGCATTTCCAGTTCAGACATGCTTCCTTCATTCTGAGGATCAGTCTCTCCAGTTCCAGAAACATTGACTGCAGTAGCATCTTCTTCAGCAGCCACATCAATGACAGCTGCTTCCAAAATCTCATCCTGTCCCAGGAAATCAGAGGTCCTGACTGGACTCTGCTGACCACTGTGCAGTGAATCAGGTAAGTCTGATGAGGTTTCATCATATGCTTCTTCATTATGTTTGCTGCTCAAAGCCTGTTTACCATCAATAGCAATATGACTTTTAATCTTTTTGGAATTTGCTAAAGAAGGTGAATCTTTATAGTTGGTTTCCAAGAGCTTTCTTTTTTGAGGCTTATTTGGAGTGTGATGATCTTCCAAATCAGGAGAAATTAAGTTAAGTGATTTAGAGCCCAAAGGATAGATGCACTAGGAAGAAAAAATAAAATGATAAAAACTACAAAAATTCAAAGCTCAAATATTACTTTACGCTTTCTAAGTCATGAAAAATATGTATAAAATTTTAGCATTAATTTGACATGAGAGAGTATATTACCAATCTAAATTTGAAGACACTAGGGATAAACAACTACTCAATTAAAAATTCGGTTCCCAAAAGAATAACTTTTCCTAGTTAATTTGACCAAGGCTTTAATCTGAATCACACTAGGTTAAGCTAACAAGGAAAACATACATACTTTTGTCTCAATAAAAAGTTAATGTCAAGTGAATTTAAAATTTTCAACAGTGTAAAGAAACATTTTATGATAAGTGTTACTGATTTTGGGACAGGTAAACTGCATAACACTAAAAATAAGAAAAGTATTTTCAAATAAAAAAAGTTGCATGGAGTAATTTGTTTCTTAATTTTAAAACTGAATACTAATCTGAGAATAATCAGAACATCAATTTTATATCCTTATTGGGTTTAAGGGTCAAATTTGGTGAATTTTAATGACTTCATCATTAATGTACATTAATGATGTACATTAATACAATTTCAGTCTAATATCAACAGTGTAAAATATTGCTAATCAAAGAATTTTCCCTAAGTTTGAAAACTAGCAAAATATTTTACAAGACAAATTCAAGAAATATATATTCTATGTGCCCTCATTTAAAACATGCCACCTTCAACAGACTAACAGTTGACAGAGGGAAGCTAGGTTGGGTGAAAAAGGTGAAGGAACTGAGAAGTACAAATTGGTAGGTACAGATAGTCACAGAGATGTAAATTACAGCACAGGGAATATAGTCAATATCGTGATAACTGTGTATGGCACCAGGTGGGTACCTGAAATAAGAGGGAGACCACTTCGTAAAGCACATGACTAACTACTATATTGTACTTCTGAAACTAATACAGAATAATATTGAATATAAACTGTAATTGAAATAAATAAATATAGTGTGGTGAAGGCCTGGGGTGGGGCAGGGGCTGGGTGAAGGGGGAAAGTGGGGGGAAATAGGGAACATCTGTAATAATGTCAACAATAAAAAATAAACTTAAAAAAATTAAATAAATAAATAATTAAAATAAAATGTGCCACCTTCTACAAAGTATGGCAGGCTGCTCCTTCAATGGCCTCTAGTGAACTTAAGAACCACACCTCCTGGTATTCATACCCTCGAAGAATCAGCCTGTTACACAACTCTGGGCCAGGCCATGTGACTAGCTCTGGCAGGACACTAGCAAGCATGATGTACATGAAGGCGTGATAAGCACTGGCTCATTGGGCTTGTCTCTTGGAGCCCTCCTTCTGGAGCACTCCTTCTCAGTCCCAGCCATCATACTGTGAGGAGCCCAATAAGCCTCACAGGGAGGCCCTTGTGGAAAAGACCTGAGACCATGGCTGACTGTCTGAGCTGAGTTTCCAAATAGCAGCTAGCACCAACTGTCAGCCATGCAGACATTTCAGTCGTCCCAGCCAACAGCATCTGATGTGTAAGGACTGCCTGGCCAACCTACAGAATCATGAGGAATAATAAGTGAAACCATTATGTTATTTCAGTCACTAAGTTTTGAGGTGGTTCATTTCACAGCAACAGATTACTGAAATGCACTAAATCCTCATTTAAAATACAGCTTCTTCAATACAAGTGAACATGTTACTCATAATACTGCATTTATTATGAGATTCTCTAACAGAAAACAAGTTTCAGATCCTTCTGTTAGCAACTAGTTGTTGAGTCACCATGAAACAGCAACTTGACCCTCAACTTTACACCTTTACTTCCCAAATCCTACCACATGTCAATAAACAGAGAACTTTAAAATTAATAGCAATAACTTTGTATTCAAAGAGTCATAAAAAGTATATACCCCTCAAAATTGAAAGCAGGACCTCAAAGAGATAGCCCTCAAAGGACGCCCATGTTCACTGTAGCATTATTCACAACAGTTAAGAGCAGAAGCAGCCCATATGTTCATGAACAGAAAGATAAAGAAAATGTGGTATATACACAAAATGGAATATTATTCAACCTTTAAAAAGTAAAACAATCCTGTTACATGATGCAACATGGATAAACCTTGAGGACATTATGCTAAGTGAAATAAACCCATCACGAAAAAGACAAACACAATAAAACCACAATGTAACAGAATAATTCAGGCAAGGGGGTGTCAGTTAAAGCCGAAAGTCTTAGTTTATTATATAATAAAGTAGGTTTTCCAAACGCATGTTAAAAAATTGACACATTAGTTTACCTATGTTTACTTATGTAGGCACATTTGTCTAATTAAAATTAAGTACGTATGAAAAGTTTAATTTCACAGAAAAGTTTTCTACATTACTGTAATTTTAAATTTATGGCGAATAAGTCTAGTAAATGCATGCATTTACCAGTCACAGTGAGGAAACAAATGCCATGGCTGGGACGTGGCTTACTGCGTGTTGGAACATCTGCTGGCTCAAGTTAAAACTGCTGCAGAAAGTCATACCACAAGACAACAAAACCAATTACTTTGAGCGATGCAGTGTGATCATGCGCTAATCATTTGCTGAACATTGTTTATAAACGGTGGTTCTTGGATTTAAATATGTTGACTATAGTTATAGATATGTAATATTTAATTATGTTGGGGAAATTACTACAGTGTTTTTTCCAACACACGGCCTATTAAAATTTGTTCAAAAAAAAACTAGTGAATAAATAACAAAAAATAATGTTAATTTAATGATAAGCAAATCTTGGTTAAAAGCATTTTAAAATTAACAGTGTGTTAATTTTCACATACAACATACGAACTGGAAATTTTGTCTGTTAAATCAGAAGTCCGTTAAGTCAAGGTCCCAAAAATCTAGGGTTTATGTCCTGTATAATTTGACCTGTATGAGGTACCTAAAGTAGTCAAATCCAGAGACAGAAAGAATGATGGTTGCCAGGGCTGAGGGAAGGAAATGGGGAGTTGTTTAATGGGGACAGAGTTTTAGTTGTGCAAGATGAAAGAGTTCTGGAGATCTGTTGTACAACAATGTTAATATAGCTAACACTCCTGAACTGTACATTTAAAAATGGTTAAGATGGTAAGTTTTACTTTTTTACAATTAAAAATTTAAAAATAATTTTTAAGAGGCAAAACAATCTTTACCAGTCTCACAGTCAGCACCCCTACTTAATAAAAAGACCAATAAACTAGGCCCCTTTATAGTTTAGTTTTTTATCCATACTCCTAGGTCAACTACCCGTCTTGTGGTTCAATCATCTGTATGATGACAGCTCCCAAGTGTGTATCTCCAATCCCAAACTCTTCACCTAATGCCACACACAGATACAACTGTTTGATCCACATAGACATTTCAGGCTTGGTTGGTCCCAACCTCCTGGTCTTCCCCTCAATGTTCCTCTTCCCCAAACCTTCTCATCTCAGTTAATTGGCAATTCCATTATTCCAATCACTCAAGCCAAAATCCTGGGAATCATCCATGATTTCTCCCTCTCCTACCATGTATCCCAACCTTTCAGCAATTCCTTCCTTTTGGCTCTACATTAAAAATATATACAGAATCCCATCATTCCTTATCACCTTGCTCATACTTGCTACCCCTGGAATACTGCACCTGCCTTCCAACCAGTCTCCTGACTTCAGACCTTGCCCATGACCTATTATTTTCAACACAGCTGCCACTGTAATCCTTTTAACATGTCAGATTATGTCATCCAGAGACCTTAAAATGGCCTATAAAGACCTTACTTGGTCCAGCCCCCTCCCCATTATTTTTCTGATCAATCTTCTATGACTCTGCTCATGTACTCAGATCCAACTCTGATGCTTCCTTGCAGTGGCACAAATATGGACAGGCAGCCTCCACTCTTAGAGCCTTATACCTGTGACTCTCCCTGCCTAGGAAGCTTGTTCCTCTTCATCTCCTTCAGGGCTTTGCTCAAATGTTACTTTCTCCATGAAGAGTTCCCTTCACCACGCCATTTAAAACTGTGATCTCCCCATTCCCTGAAATTCAGTCCCTGTGGCTTTACTTTTTTTCCACAGCACTTTTCTTCTTTTTTTAAAAAATAAACCTCACTGAGGATGTGCTTATTTATTGATTTTAGAGAGAGAAGAAGGGAGAGGAAGGAAGAAGGAAGGAGAAGGGAGATGGGGAGAGGGAGTGGGGGGAGAGAGAAAACACTGATATGAGAAACATCGACCAGTTGCCTCTCATACACACCCTGACTGGTGACTAAACCTGCAACCTAGGTATGTGCCCTGACTGGAATCCAACCTGCAATCTTTTTGGTGCACAGGACAGGGCTCCAACCAAGCCACCCAGCTGGGGCTTCTTCGCAGCACTTTTCATCACTTCACACAAAAATATATACTTTACTTATTTTTTCCCCCACTCTAGAACATAACCTTCTTGAGAGCAAAAAACTGTTTTATTCATTGTATCCTAGCATATGAAACAGTGCCAACATGGTGATGCTCGAAAAAATATTTTATCAAATAAAGGCAAAACCAATTTATTCCTAATTGTAAGAATGCCTGGGATTTTCTTCAAGTTATGCCCAGCAAATTATCTACCAACAACAGAGGGATTTAGACTAGTATTTTCAAAGTTGGCTAATCATTAGACTCACCCTCAAAAGTTACAAAACTACAGAATTCTGGGTCAAGTCTGCTTTATCAGCATCTACGTGAGGCCCAGGAATTTCTAAAAAGCACTCCAGGTGATCCTGATGAACTGCTAGTTTACCTGGAATAAAAGTATCTGAAATTATAAGGCTCTGTTCCAATCAAAGTTTTGACACTTTAGGGAGATCTTGAGTTCCTAAACTCTCTGCATCTGTTTTCTTATTCACAAAACAGGAATACCTACCTTGCAAAGTTTGGAGAATTAAGTGTGTATATAACAGTTTCATAACTGTCAAGTAACAAAACATACAGTATTATGGAGTTTAACGAGTTCAAATGTGTACCACAGATACAAATTACTGTAATTAATCCTAAAAGATATTTAGAACCTTAAGTACATAACATGTAGAGATTAATAACTTTTCCAATAAGTTCCCAAAGTTAATAAACCAGAGAAGAGAGATTACCTACTACATACCAAAAGCTAATAAGTCCTCCCCCTAGGTTAAAAAAAAAAAATAAATCTTGAAATGTATTTTTTCCTCTCAAAAGTTTAATGACAATAAAAAGAAACACCTTCTTGCAATAACTCAGGAAACCAGGTGGAAAAATGGAAAATATTTAACAGTATACCAGACAGATCTAGAAACTCTTGATTATCTAAGTATTAAAAATGTACAGTCATAAAAATACAAAACGAGCACAAACTTAAACACTGAAGAAAAAAAGCAAAAGGCCAAAACCTCGATACTATCTAAAATTAATACTTTACCTGTAGATCCTCACACAAATAGATAGATTCTTGAAAACTAATTCGGTAAATCTTTAAGGTTTTTAACTTTCCCTTCTCTCTACAAGCAGGGCAATACCCATCTGACAGGATGTTAGCAGAATCATAATTCTAAAAGAGAAATAAAGTAAATTAAAATATAGACATTCCTAGATTGTACCAAATTATAAAATGTTAAATGGAAAAGCAACCAGAAAAGAATTACAGCTTTCACCTCTAAGTATCCTGGCAAGATATTTTCAACATGGCAAATAAAAAAAATGCATATAGGCCTTAAATATATCTATTAATCCAAAAAGACTATATTGTAGTTTTAAATATTAAGTTTTAAGTGTTAAAAATAACATCAGGTTTATTCGCAAGAAAAAAAGGTGATGTTAATTGTCAGGGAAAGTGCATGTTCCATATTTTCAAAGAATAAGAAATGTTTTATTTCTACTTTCACATGTTAATAAAACACAGAGAGGTAAATGCATTAAAACAATCTTTCGCCAATACTGTAAGATTTCCGTGGAAGATGATACAATTTATTTATAAGTTAACTGGTAAAATTAAAACTGAATTCAAGTCTCAAAAAAAGGAGGGGGGGAAAAAAACCAACTTTGCCTTGAGGCAAAAATAAGTTCACTAACTTTTCCCAAATACCCCACCATGTGGAGTGAAGATACCCCTATATCAGTCCCTGGTCCAATCACTGGCAAACCATTTCCAGTCTTCGGGGAATCCATCATTCCGAGTCATTGGCTAATTTATGTCACTTGAAACATGTCAATATCACTAAGGATTTTTCAATGAACCCTGAAAAATAAAAGTCAATAGACAATTAAACAAAAATCCTATTTAATCTGAAATAGAGCTACACTATTTTATAAGAGATACACTATATGTCCTAGCATAAACATATTCTGAAGTTGTAATCTGGAAGTGGAAAAATACCTAAATACATTTTATAAATCTAGAAAATTTGTGGGGAAAGGGTGAAGACTGGCAATAGGACTGGTTTTCATAGACTCGTTTGTAAGCAAATTTATTAAAACTTGGAACAGACATTAACTATTAAAGCCAATTTTTATTGACGAGTGTTCGAAAGCCTAAGTTTTCAGAGTCTATGCACAATTTGAAACAAATATATCAGCATTACATTAAGAAAGTACTTTAACAACCTCAGATCCATACTGGCCAGTGTGGTTCAGTTGGTTAGAACACCCTCCCATACACTAAAAGATTGTGGGTTTGATTCCGGGTCAGGGCACATACCTAGGTTGCTGGTTCCGTCCCTGGTTGGGGTGCGTACGAGAGGCAGCCGGCCGATGTTTCTCTCTCACATTGATGTTTCTCTCTCTCTCTCTCTCCCTTCCTCTCTCTAAAATCAATTAAAACAAACAAAAAAACAAATCTTAGATCCATTGTGACATTACTTGACAGGGACCAAAGAACCCCATACATTCCCAGTGCTTTCAACCACCAAGAACACTTCAGCAATTGAGTTTAATGTTATTTTTTTAAAGCTGCCAACAAAATACTATTTCATATTAAAGTAAATGATCTGTACCAAAACAAAAAAATATAAACACTGTTACAGTACAAACTACACATGTAACAAGCCTGTTCTGAGTGTTAAGTCCCAAGGCCTAGGATCACATTCAGGAAAGTCAACTCTATGAGACTGGAGCTCAGTGTAAGGAAAGTGATTATTAAAAGTAGAGTAGATATGGATTTAAAATACAGGGAAACCAGACTCAGGAAACTTATCAGCAGAGTGAATCATAACATAGCAGGGATGTTGTAAAATAATTTCAAGCAAAAGTCTTTCCCAAATCTAAGAATCCATGATTCTATAACAACTAGCTCCTAGGAAATTGCAGCTCACAGGTTCACTTGAAAAACTAGTTATGTGCCCTGGCTGGATAGCTCGGTTGGTTGGCATGTCGTCCCATGCACCAAAAGGATGCAGGTTCGATTCCCTGTCAGGGCACATACCTGGGTTGTGGGTTTGATTCCTGGTCGGGGTGAGTGTGGGAGGCAACCAATCGATGTTTCTCTCTCTCCCTCCCTCTCTCTCTCTAAACATCAATAAAAACATTAAAAAAGAAAAACTAGTTATGCTATTCTGTTCCAGCTGTATACATTTTATGCACTTTCAAGCCAAACATTAATTTAAAAAATGAATGTTTTTTAGAAAGTATCAGTGAATCTCAATTTCCTATACCTGAAGAAATATCCACAGGGCAGGACTTCTCAACTACAGCATTATAGATGTCTTGGACCAGCTCATTCTTTGTTGTGAGGGCTGCCATGTGTGTTGTACATGATGTTTAGCAGCATCTATGACCTCTACTTAGTAGATGCCAATGGCACTCACCCCTCAGCTGTGAAAATCAAACATGTCTCCAGGCACTGCCACGTCTCCTGGGAGGCAAAAATCGCCCTATCAAGAACCAGTGCCAAAAGGGTAAAAACTAGTTTGGTGCTAAATTTTTTTCTTTTTAAGCTGCTCACAGACAATACCAATTTATTATCTTCGGCTGGTTCTATTTATAATCTGCTTACAAAAGGAAACTATATAGGAAAGAGTCAAACTTCTATGGTTTCAGAGTGGCTAAAGGCATGGGTTTTACATCTGAGTTCAGCAATTTCTTTGTAAAATTGGTTGTTCTAAGAATTAAATGCACTAATACATGTAAATGCTTAGCATCTGACACAGTAAATTTTAACTGCTACATATTTGGTGATAATCTTTCACTCTGTAGAAAATATCCAACCCATCTTGTATCACTCTCAAAAGAAAAATAGGTAATCTATGTATGTTGAGTAAACGTTTTTTAGTGAAAATTTCCATTTGCTTGAGGGATCAAGAAAACTTTTCCCACTGATTCTCATAGGCTCTCCCTCAATTATAAAAGTGAAATAGAAGGAGGCTTCAAATCTGCTCCTCTGATCCCACCTCCACCATTTCAATGAAAAAAGCAGGTAGACTGGTGGTTGAAATGCTAAATATGCAGAACCTCTCCCCTCCCCCCAAAAACCTCACTTAATAAAATACCAGGAGCGGGCTATTCAGGGCTTCCCAATACAACTTCCTTTGTCCTCCCTTCAAAAACTACAGTTCCTCTCTCTTGTATTTCATCTGTATTTTGGCATCGCCATCCTTCCAAACACAGATACCAGAAAATTTGAGTGGTTCTCTACTCTTTCACTTCCCTCTTCTTCACCCAGTATAAGTAGCTAAGTTCTCTGGATAGTTCTTTGGAAGCGTCTCAAATCCCCACCTCTTTCCAGGCCATCTACATACACCCCGGATCACTGCCAAAGTGAGGCTTCTACAAAACAAGTTTGAGCTTAAAAATCACCTCAGCACCAGCCTGATCACAGGAAAGTCCAACCAGGGCAGTGTGACCTAGAGGTAGTAGTATGGCTGTATTGTGACATCTCAGCCTGACCTCCTCTACTCTTCACCCCCAGAGTCTTCCTTCTAACGTCCCCCTTTCTCATTACTTTTGTAAGCCACGGATACTCCAGAAGCCCGAGTGTGAATTACTAGCCCAGTATGGACCCAGTTACAGCGCAATGAATGTGTCAAGCTGGCCCTGGGAATAGCGGAAAAGATGCAATTCAGCTTAATTCACAGTCCCGCACGCGAACTGGGAAAACCCAGCGAACACACAGTTCCAAGAGGAGCCTCAAGCCTCGCTGAGCTTGCGCTCCAAGGCCAAGTGGGCGCCGCACGTGAACTGTCAAAGCTGAAGCCACCACAGACTTGAAGCCGAGGAATAGGGTCTGCTTTCGGGTCGAACCGGGCCGGGTGCGAAACCCAGCCCACGTGAATCAGAGACGGATACCCCAACCCTGGAAACCCGAGGAGGCGCAGGGTTCCGTACACCCTCCCCATCTCCACGCTCCACGGGAAAGGGGAGAACAACTCTGGTTTCTCTTCAGCATTTACCTCTCTGAGCCCAAACGAATCTATACCTCAATCTCTACACCTTAACCTCAACCCCGGCCATCTGAACCACGTCCCAGCCCCTCCCTCACCCAGCCCAGCCCATCCTTTCAGCGCGCACGCTGCTCCACAGATCAACCCGGTTCTGTCCCCTTTCCCTATTTCGGGAGCTGAAAGACACTACTTCTCCCTTACCTGCAGCGGGCACTCTTTTTCGCACAGGTTCGATCTGAATTCCTCTTCCACTGCACGGTGCAACGTCCACCCCACGTTCAACCTCAGCCTGCCTCCCCCACCGACCTCCCCGCTAGGAAAGCAGTTTCCGGTTTCGGTCCGCCGCAAAAGAGTTCCCCTTCCTTATCCGCGCTGGGCCCGAAAGGATTACGTCCGTGAGCGAGGCGGAAGGCGAGGATGGGAGCACTTCCGCTCAGGCCTCCGCAGAGGCGTGGCCGTCCGCCTGGCTGCCGCAGCCGCAGTTTCGTCCTCGACGACGACTAGGGGCGGAGCCGGGGGCTGTAGAGCCGCCCTCCTGAGAATGGCTGGGTTGGGGGAGGCGACGGTTCTGGAAGCTGCTGGAAAGCGCTCCAGTGGCGTAGGTGACGCCAGCGGGGGTGGGGCGTGATTAAAACGAGTTCGCGGCCGGCAGCGGAGGGATTACGCTGTGGAAAGAGACTGGCACGTGTCTTGCTGCTGTCTGGCCCGCGCGACCCCGAGTTGGAAGCTGACGCGCCCTCGAGTGACCTGGTGGGCGGGCAAGGGGCCGGCTCCCGAGCCGGCGAAGGGTGCCATGGAGGCTGTCGGCTGTTGCGTCGCCGCGGCGCCACCTTCTCGGCGACTGTGGGCCGCGCGAGGCCTCCATAGGCCACCGACCAAAAGCCTCAGTGAGAGTCGAGCTGCCCGAGTGCGTGTTCACGAAGGGTCACCACACACGGAGCTGCCCCTCCCTATCACCCCAAACCTCATCTTCGAGGCCAGAGGCTTTTCTGCCCGGATTCTGGGGTGTTTCTCCTCCTTCCCTCCCTCCCAGATCTAACGGTAAGGGCAGTAGCCAAAGCACAGGGGCTCTGTTCATGGCCGGTACTAACTAGTCAGCCTCCAATCTGCCCCTGCCGCGACTTGTGGCTCCTACCTTGTTTTAAGAGAAAGGGGGAGTTCTCATTTAGTTTGTAAGTTTAAGGCTCTGCTTTCCTAGGAAGGTCATGTGGTTTAAGGGACACCGTGACCGCGTGTGCTATTTCGTAATCTGCATTCTGGATCTTGGGGGCAGCGTAGTCCTTTGGTTCGATTGGTTCTAGTCCTAAAATAACAATACGTAGTTTCTAACCAGTTATTTGCAGGTAAACCATTAGCAATTTGGACTGTTGTTTTTTCAGTGGTCTCAAACTGAATGATCATATTGTGGAATAATGCTGATCATTTTGGTAGGGTAGTACAGAGGAAAACAAGTCCTGTGTACTAAGAAGTTCTTAAGTAAAAAGGATTTTAGTTTTGGGTTCTTCTGAATGCAAATAGTCAAGAAATCCAGCGGGGAGTTTGTTGTTTTGCTTTTCTCCAGACTGAAATATAGCCTCGTTAGTTTTTGTTTACCTTTTTTGTTGTACAAGATTATTAATGTGCTGATATATTTTTTATTCTCACTAGCTAGGTTTTTTTAATGAAATATGATGAAAATATGAGAACGTAGTATTTCCTCCTGAAATAATAGCTGAAACTCAAGAGTTTTTCTTGTTAAACATTGCTGTTACCATTTTTTGTGATTACACTTGCTGAACATGAACTTAATAAATCGAACAAAATAATTGGTTTGAAAAGTAGCTAAAACTGTAAGATTGAAAAATCAACATTCCCAAACTGAATTATATCAGTCAAACATTGTTGTCTGCAAAGTTGATTTGTAGTCTTTTAGTGCAAATTTGGTTTATTTTTTCCAGGTAAAAATATGTAATCATAACAAAATGGAAGTGGAGCTTGGGTTGTAAAAAAAATTGAAGGGATATTAGTATATGTTCCAGAGCTTTCCCCCTTGTAAAAGGTAGAAAAAGTCATATAAGGCTTTATAAGATAAAAGCAAAGATATTAATATAGAAAAGTCAATCAGGAGAAGTTAACTACAAAATTCTTCTTTCATTAATGTTAGAAGAATGATATCATGTTCAAAAAACTGTACATTTCTGCTTATTCTTTATGTGTGTATTTAGAATGCCACTTTCTGTGAACTACGCTGGTCCTAAAAAGAACCAGGTTACCTTCCAGTAGGGTTAAAGTTCATTGCCTCTATCTGCTTTCAGCAATGTGGAACAGAGTTTTATTTATCTATTTACATTTAAAAACTAACATCTAATCAAAGGGAGTTTTTATTAAATTAATAACCAATGAGTAGCTATAATAGGAATACAGTGTCTTACAATTAGGATTTTGTTTTTTCATTTTTCTGATGATGCCAGCTTTTACCCCTCTGCTAGGTTGGATTCCTTAATGGCGAACAAGCCTTTGGCCAAACCTGGAAGTGTAAAAACTGCCTTCTTGTTCTGGTCTCATCAAAAAGATGAGGATTGAAGTGACCGTATTTTCTAGCAGCATCTTTGTGAGTACAGTCTATAATCTCTTACCTGATTCCAACATCAGAAGGCTTTGAAAAACCAAAAACCTTTTAAACTTGGAGACAAGATTCATTTGGTAGCAAAATATGACCTGAACTAAGAAGAAGTGATATATAGTCTTTATTTATCACTTATGATTTATTGAAGAAATACTGTGTTTGATTTATATGGCTTGGCCCATGGCCACTGACTGGTATGTTAGGTGTTGCATAATGGTTTGTGTACCTTATAACGTTGTTAGAGTTCCAAGAAATGATTACTTCTAAAACATATCCATCCCTGGGGTTTTGGTTAAGAAGTGCAAACATATATTAATATTTTGGGCAATACAGTTGTGCTAGGCATTTGTATATTTAAAAAATTAAAATCGCATAATATAGTTCAGTTCTTTACCTCAGTGAATTCACTTGTGTAAGAAGGATAGAAAAAAGTACATTTATCATACTGTAATATGTTTGTTCATAGAGATGTGCACAGCCTATTAGTGTAGTCATGTAGAAAGCACACAAGAAATTGGTAATCCAAAGGTTTAAGATTATTTTGTACTTTAGGCTCTAAAATTTAGGTAAACATTACAACCTTATTTAGCCTAAACTTACCTGGCCCTGTTTTGCCCACGCAAAATGAGAAGATGGTATGATAAAGAAGAGTCCTAGAGTAGATACTGGAATATCTGATTTTTAATCCTAACACTTCTGCTATGTGACCTTATACAAATCACTTAATTTTCAAGGCATCGGTTTACAGATCTATGAGAAGCTTGAAATAGATGGGTCTCTTAAGGAAGGTACCTTACATATAATCCCAACATTCTACCTACAGGCATTTACCCTTAGAACTATACCTACTTTTTATAAATGTTTTCCATTAAGAACATGATCCTGTTTCATCTCAAACTACTTTCTTGCTAATCTAAACTTTGTGTTTCCTTTTAGATTAGGTAATACATTCACATGGTTCAAAATTCAAAACGTAGAAAAGATATGCAGTTAAAAGTCTTCCTGTCCTAGCCAGTTTGGCTCAGTGGTTAGAGCATTGGCCCACGGACTGAAGGGTCCCAGATTTAATTCCGGCCACAAGCATGTACCTCCGTTGCAGGCTCGATCCCCAGCACTGGTCAGGGTGCATACAGGAGGCAACCGATCCATGTGTGTCTCTCACATAGATGCCTCTCTCACATAGGTGCCCCCCCC